TGAGAAGTGGACTGAGACTGGGCATGGTGGCGCATGCCTGTAATGTCAGCACTTGGGAGGCTGAAAACAGGAGACTTACTGAGTCCAATCTACATAGTGAGACCCTGTAGACCTTGTGCTAAATATTGAAAACAAAATCAACACACTATTTGCAGCACTTCTCAATACCCATAAAATATTACTGAAAACACTGAAGATCTGTATAAATGAGATAATGAAAATTCATATATTGAAAGAAAAATGTTATCACAGCAATTCTTTTAAAGTTATCTATAAATTCAATACACTCCTAGTCACAAGTCCATGGACTTTATTGTAGAAAAGGAGACATTTCAAAAATTAATAGGGAAATGCTAGAGACCTAAACTTGCTAAAATAATGTTGAAAGAGAACAGAGTAGAAGGACTGTGTACTCTAAAGCACAGTTTCTAAAATGTAGTAGTACAAAGAGATAGAAATCAATTGAGCAGAGTAAAATACTCATGAATATTGTCAATTATTTCTTAAGCATTTTCATAGAGGAAAGGTTATGTTCTTCACAAATGATCATGGAATAATTGGGTAGTGTTACTTTACACAGTGCATCTCAACTTTTACACCATGTCAACTAGAAAAATGAAATAAAAATGTATGGCAGACATACACAGCAAAGCTAAGATAATACAATTTTAAGACAGAAAGTTGGGAGAAAACTCTCATAAATAAGTTAAGCAAAGTCTTCTAGAACATAAAATGCACAAATTATTAAAAGTTTATACATATGCCTGAATCAAAATTAAAAATTTTGCTCTTTGTTATGGCTTGTATCTAAATGTCCTTGTGAAGTCTCATGGGCACATAGGTGGGGATTTCCAGAGGTGGCTGAATTGAAAATATGTGGTGTTTTATTAGGGTATGTGAGATTGGGATTAAAGGTATGTAGTACCAGATTAGCCCACTGATTGGTTTATAATACTTCAGACTGTGGATAACTGGAAAGGTGTGCAGGACACCATCCAAAGGCTTGCAGCTTAGTTGGAATGAAAGGGAAAGGGGAGTTTGCTGCCTCCTGTTTGCTTCCTTTTGCCTGAACTGCATTGACTATTTTTCTTCCATAATGGATCCAGCCAACTATGGTGTCCAACCTCTATAAACCATGAGCTGAAATATACCTTTCTTCTTTTAATTTGTGAGTATTGGGCATTTTGTCTTAGCAAAAAGAAAAAACCTAAGATAGATTTTGGTAACAGAGAACTGGTGTCATTGTGTGACACTACCTGACCACGCAGTTCAGAAGCCTTAATAATTGGCTTTTAGGAGAGCTGGGAAAACTCTACTGATACCCCCTAAAGAGGCAGCACTGAAAAGGTATAAGCTGACTTTGATGGGAGATTCTGGTCAGAACTTAGATGATCAGAATGTCAATAAAAATTTAGACAGTAAAGACCAGGCTCAGGAGGTATCAGGTCGGAATAAGAAGTGTATGGTTTATTGGACTTCAGACACCTAGAAAGTAAGGAGAAAAGGTTTATTTCAGCTCACAGTTTAGAATGTTTCAGTTCAGAGTTAGAGAAGCCAGGAATGTGGATTGTTGCAGGAAAGTTGCAAGTGGGCAAAGTCAGTCCAGGAGAGAAATCATGGTGGCTACAAAAACCAGAACTTCACCATTTGCCAAAGTTTATATCTGATGTGTGAGGTGGAAATATTGGATATAATGTTTGCTCCACTGGATTTTGGGCTTGCTTTGGTCCAATTCCTTTCTATTCATTCTTCTCTTCGCACCTTTCATAGTAGGAAAGTTTATCTTATGGCGCTGCATGTTGCATGTGTTGAAAATTTATCTTATACAGGGGTGAGCGGCTAAAAGTTTGCCTTAATCTCAGGGGAAGTTTAAAAGTTGGAATTAAGAACATTGAAGAAACTGTTAGGATTTTGGCAAAACTTAGAGATGGGCTAAGTCCCTTTTGAAAGATGGATTGCACAAGTCTTTAGAGGCCAGGGCAGAAGGTTATGGTTTGCTTCTAAATGCCTCCATTAAAGCCCCACATGCTCATGGGAAGGGCTTTCTGGAGGTGGCTGGGTCACGGATGTCTGATGTTGGATTAGAAAGCTCCCAGGAATGTGAACCACATAGACTCAGTTCCTTAAGTATTTTTTTTCTCTGAAGAGCATTTTAAAATTTATTTCATGAACACAGATTCTATTTTGCCAGGGAGTTATTTATTCCCTCTTGTTCCCATCTCAAGAATGAAGAAATGTAAAGGTCAGACACTGACAGACAACGGTAGCTGTACTACTGATATCAACATATGCCCCAGATGTGGAATTATGACTCATACTGTGGGGATCCATAAGTTTTGGGGGGTACTATAATAGGACCCCTAAAGTAGTAGAGGCAAGAACTCAGCAGAACGTGAGAGCAAAAAAGACACTGAGGATACCACCATTATTATACAGGAACAGTTGCTTGCTTAGGGCTGTTTGTAAATTCTCAAGTCTTCTGCTGGCTCCTTCTAGGGTTTCCTCAAGGATAACATACTGTGATGACCTGATGGTTTGTCCCTGGCTTTCCCAGATGCACTCAAATGTCAAACGTTCTTCCATTTATATCTGCTATGAAATTAAGACTTTTTTTTTTGGCAGGCTGAAGTTTCTAAGTGTAACTGTTCTTGCAAACTCCCAGCTCTTTTTCTATAGTAACTTGGAAAGCAAACATGGAAACATGTTCTAGAGAGGGGTCAAAAAGATCAGAACTCCATGAATGAGAACAGAAGGAACCCACTAAAGAGAGCAAACAATTAAACACAGGAAAATAAAGAGTACACAACAGCAGGTAAATAACATGTTGATTATAAATCAATGCATCTCAATTATAACCATTAATGTAAATGTACTTAATTCACCAATTAAAAGAAATAAACTTGGGGGCTGGGGAGATGTGCTTGCCTGGCAAGTGCAAGGGTCTGAGTTCAATCACCAGTTCCGCCAAAAAAAAAAAAAAGAAACTTAAAAGAAATAAACTGGCAGTGGATTAGGAAGCAAAATCCAACAATATGCTGTATACAAGAAACACACTTAACTCAAAAAGACATTCATAGACTGAAAGTCAAAGGATGGAAAACAATGCTACACTCTCCAGCACCTCAGAAAAAAGCAGGGGTAGCAATCCTGTTCTCAGACAGTCTCAACTTCAAACCAAGAATGATCAAATGAAATAAAGGAGGCCACTATATACTGGTTAGGGGAAAAATTAAAGAGGAAGAGGTAACACTCATAAATGTATACACATCAGTTCCTGAAGTATTTCCAGTGCATATGTAAGCCCGCATCTAGAGACCAGCAGACTGGGGAAGCATTTAATCATAAAAGAGTGCCATTGACAAAAAGAGGTTAAAACTCCCAAAATTTCTATTGGTGTAGCACCATGAAATGTTAAGATTTCTGATGATGAAATTAGCTGTTAAGTGCACATGTAAGTGGAAGCATTTCTGATGGTTTGCTTCGAGAAAGAGTGGCTTAAAATCATAATTTGACACTGCATTTTCTGAAAACTGGTGCTTCTGTTTCTTGGTCCTATGGTGTCTGAATACTGTTAAGCTCTGAGTGAGCAAATCTGCAGAAAAGTTGATGGCATCATTGCTGCTGTGCCAACAGAGCCTAATTGGTTTTGAAGCTGTCTCGTTGCAATTTGTTTCTCGATAAAATTAATAAAAAAATTTTCATAGAAAAGGGAATACTGCAAAAGAGTGCCTCAGAGATGGGTGTGAAACGAAATAAAGTGGACATCAGGTGGAATTAAGACATTAAAAGAAGGACACAAAAGGCAGCTGGGAGGTTACTTTTCCTCAGCTGATAAGGATTCTGCTCATGTGGCAGGAAATATAAAGGAAAGCATCCGCTGATGAAATTTAGCGACCGAGTGAGAAAATTTAGAGACCTAGTGGGACCCAGTCTCAAAGCAGGAACTTTAAAACAATGTCAATGCAAAAACAATCCATTCAGTCCCTATCACACAAATAAAATAAGAAGTAAAACTTTTTAAAATAAAATGAACCAAATTGTTTTTCCTTAGGTACTACTTCTATAAAGACACATTCTTGGTGGAGAAATGTGGGAGTTGTGGTGATGAAGACGAAGATGGAAACAACAACAATCTACTATTGCTAACAGGCACGTATGTAATGGGCACCTGGCACTGTGTCAAGCAGAAGCTGTGTTCCTTCAATTTTATGTAAACGGTTACAACACCAGTGCCAGTGTGCATGCATTGTGATACAGAGATTTAAATTCAGAATGTGTTGCTAGAAACAGTCAAACATAACTCAAGGAAAATATTATGACTTTGGAATGATGAAAATAATTTCATTTGTTCCAAGATTCAGACAACATAATATTGGAAGCGAGTCCTAGGGATCAAACAGAGATGAAAATAAAACAAAATGATATGGCATCACTAATAAAGATGATTTTGTTATTTATTTATTTATTTATTTATTTGCTTCTTTCTTTGTTTCTTTGGTGGTACTGGGGATTGAATTCAGGACTTTGCACTTCCCAGGAAAGCACTTATTCTACTGAGCTATCTCCTGGGCCCAAAGATGACTTCAGAAGAAAGAAAATTATTTATGTTTTACCACCAAATGTACTTTATTCAGGAAGTGAAAGTGAAGGTACAATTTTACAAGTGATAAAATATCTGGTAAGCTGATTGAGAGGCTAAGAAGACATCATTGGGTGGGACCAAGGGAGAGAGGCCACTCTTGCTTCCTCAGGTCTGGGATGCTGGCAAAGCTTAGGAGGGTCCTTCCTCAGTCTCTTCCTCAGTAGTGCCAATAAGAGAGCTTTACTAAGAATTCCTGTAGCAGGGAGGGAGGAGCCATCAGAAGCAGATTACTGGTGAAAGACTGAAGAAGGATCTTTTGCGTCCATGGAAGGCTTTGAGGAGAAGAGAAAGGGGATACTGTAGAAGGAGCTGAGCCAGTTTTCCTGGCCTTTTCCTGATCTGAGGAATCCTGAGGCTGTTACTTGCTCTTGGGCGGGCACTTCTGCTGGCAGGGTGGGGGACACTGCACAGGAGGACATTTCTGTTGTGGAGGTGGGCAGGGCTCAGGGCAAGGTGGAGGTGGGCAAGGCTCCGGGCACTTTGGAGGTGGGCAGGGCTCCGGGCACTTGGGAGTTTTGACCACAGGAGGTGGCTGGCAGGGCTGTTTGCACTGTTGCTGTTGATAAGACATGATCCTGGGGTCTGAGAGTCTGAAAGAAATCATATGGCAGTGTTCAGAAGAAGGAACAGTAGTGAAAGAAAAGCTTATGCAATACCACAGCATATTATTTCTCTGGCTTAACATATTCTCTTCTTCTGACTTAATGGAGCTCTCTTCCACATTAAGAGTATAATTCCCCAGTTTTAGAATAAATGTAATCTCCCCAGAGATGCTTAAAAGTTTAACAGTGCTGAGCACCTCAGTCCTGGCATCATTACTGCCTGAGAACGTCATTGGGCAGATAGGAGAAGAGAGCAATGTCCACTCAGGAAGAATTAAAGGATGTCACACCTAATTAAGTCATATACCTTTGCAAGAGTATATGGGAAAGAGAGATGCACTTTTTTCAATCTTTTAAGTCAAGTCCAGGCTTCCCCATTATCCTAGTGTCCCATGTGGATATTGAGTTGTTTACCCAACAAAAGCAAAGGAAGCCCATATATTGCATCCATTTCCCCAGTCTTAAGCATCCATCTGTTAAGGAACACCCATCTCATAGTCATGATCTGCGCACACCCAACTTGCTGTCTCAAATTAAATGTAGCCAACAAGTGAGGAGAAGAAGAAAGAGATTGACAGAGAATATCAGACTCACCAGCTTCTGGAGAGCAGTTTGGGACTTTCCTGCCAGAAGTCTAGCATCTGTGCACCAGAGGGCCTCCTTATAGGGCTGCCTGCCCCACCCAAGGGGAAGTGGAAGTTCCTCACCATGGACTGGCTTGGTCATTTCCTCATCCAAATGCAAATCCATCCATAACTGGCTGGCCAGGCACTTTGTAGAATCAGAAATAATGTGCTCCAGGAAGCCCTCACTGGATTAAGTGCTTGTGACTCAGAACCTACCTTGGCAGTCTATTTCCTTTGCCTGGTGGCTGTTTGCAAATTTGGTGGTTTCCCTAACTGGTTCTTGAATGCTCTCTTGCTTTACTGAGACAATAATATCCTTCTATTGTTCAACATCCTTGAGTATTAAGAAGATCCTTGATTCATTTGTTCCTTTTATGCTGTGGTACTTAATGAAGCCTATTTGCATCTCCCCTCCTCATCCTACAAAGACAGAAGGGCAGACCTAGGATGGCCTGTGGTCTGGTCTTAGTTCAATCTCTAACAAGCCATGTGCCCCAGGTTAGGTCGTGTCTGCCCCATGATTTGGTGTTTTTTTCTATGGATGGTGGAAACTGTCCCAGAGGACTACATTAGTTGGGCATCACTTGCCCCTGTATAAACCTGTGTTTTCTTTCATGGAAAATGACCCAGGAACTGACATCATTTTGTTTGTCTTTGCAGTTATTTTTTCCCTGCTCATGGAAGGACTTTTCTCCCAGGAAAGTCTTTGGTTCCTCATTGGATCAAGGCCACTGAGTGCTTTCTGCCTTCCTTCCTACATGGTTGTACATGTGAGCAATTACAGTTTATTGAATAAATGTACTCCATGACTACATTAAGAAAAGAAGCAGAAGGGGATGAAAGCCACATCTATTCATTTTACGTTCAGTTCTCGAAGCACATGCATGTGGTGCTCTCTGAGGTTCCTTGCAGTGCAGAGAAAAATGGAGACACTGAGAGCCTCTCTTTAGTGCATAACTAAGAGCAGGTTTGAGGAACAGAGAGGGTCTGACCACCAAAGGTCTGAAACTAGAGGTGGAGGTATGGACTTACCCTGAGGATCAACTGGCTTGCTCACACTCTTTCCAAAGAGGCTTTACATATTTCAAGGCAATTTTTGTAAGCATTGTCTGTATGTAATTCTGTCTACTCTGTCCACTCCCACCCCTTTCCAGCTTCAGTCCCCCCCCCTTTCAACCCCCTGATCTGTCCTAGTGGCCCATTTAGAGAAGGATTTTTTTCTTTTCCTTTTTTTTTTTTTTTTTTTTTGAGGGGGGCTGGCTCAGGCTGCCTTAATGGCAGGTCTGGTGTGGCATGTGGAGCTGGAGATCAAACCATGGTCCCCTGCACCTGACTGAGTTTGCCTAAGCAACTTTAAACAACTGAGCTAACCTGCAAGCCCCCTATAGTGGTCCATTTTGTCACATCTTAGTCACTGAAGACGTAGTTATCCATGCATTCAAAAGTTTGTGCTTCACAAATCTTTTAACTCTTCATGCAGTCAGTGGAAATTATGAAAAATTGTGAAATACATATTTAAGTAATGTTGCTAAAGCCTCCTTGTCTTGGCTAAACAATCAGGCAGGCTCTGCAAGTGTGGCTTTCTCATTAAAGAAGGAGGAACACTCAAACTCTATGCAGAACTCGGAATCCGTGCTTAGACCTTACAGGAACACTGAGTCAACCCTGAGTCATGTGTGCTCCCTTGAGCAGGAGACACTCCCAGAACCATCACTGCTCCTGACAGTAAGGAAGGACTTTTGGTGAAGATACATTCTGCCATGACCCTACAGGGACAGACAGACCTGTGACTGCAGCATGGCGAAGCCAAGTGTGCATGCAGGGTGTCATCAGTGTAGGCGTCATATAGAATTTTTTTATTCATGCCCATGGGCAAAGGGCAGAGGAAAGGAACTTTGCTCAATATGTTCTTCATTCTCCCTCACATTTCCAGGGTTGAAACCCAAATGATTACAAAAAGATGTGATTTGTACCATCCAAAATTTTATTTTTTTAATAATTTTATTGAGAAACAAATAACAATGAGACAGTTTCAAAACTGATTAGTAGGACAGTTTCAATAATTAATACATTGCATATTGTTGTCTTAGTGGTTATTCATTGTACAAGATGCAGATATGATATCCTGTCCACAAACACTATTAGAACAAATCTCTCTATTCATTGAATTAAAAGAAAGTAGTTGTATATCTATCCTATTTTGAATATACAGATACAAAATGGTCATTCATTTGTAACCCCTTTTTTTGTTTAGTTTTGTCAGAGATGGGTATTCCATTGTCATTTAAATATTGTAAGTGCATAAATTCAGCAAAATATTCCAATATTGTCCAATAGTCTGTAATAGTAGTGGGTCTTCCATAGGACTGACAATGTCAGAAGTTGTTGACTTGAGCCTTTTACAGCTCAGCATATTAATATGGCTTTACTTTTTATACTTTGTTTTTATACTTTTCTGCTGGATGATTAAGACCAAGATAAAGCAAGACCTATACAATAAGAAATGTAACCTTTGTATCTGATAAGGTCAGTCAAATCCCCTCAGGATTTATCCTGTAGCCCTGTACCACACTTTGTAGATCCCTTGTCAGTGTCAGGCATGTGGATGAGTCACGGCCATCGGTTGGCCAGAGTGCTCTCTGTGAAAGCCTGAGAGAATGTTTTCTCTCCTGTCTAGAGAGGATTACAGTGTCAGATAACAGTTTTGGTTACACCTAGAGCCTCTTCTGTATATTCCCCCTTCAAGGAGACTACATGATTGCATGGGAGCATCAAAGCCTGGCAGCTCTGGAAATGTCAGATTCTTGTGCTGAATTCACAACATTCATTTCCTTAGTGCTTTGCTACATGAGGGGTTTCTGGAGATAACAAGCAGCACTCTGCTGATGTTTCTCTAACTTTAGATGTGTTGACCTGGGATAGGTACAAAGCATGCTTCACCTTCTACCTGCCCCTCACACACAGAATGCCATGAGCCTTAACTGTGTGAAAGCCTGTCTATCTCTTTCTTCTGTTTGTCTGGCTCTCTTCTATGTATCTCCCAATCTTTCTTCTGTCTATTTACCCACAGTTACTCTATATCAAGTTAATTCTTTAGTCTTTACTAGTCTAACAATGTTTGGTTCAATTCTACTTCTTCTATTTCCTAGTTTACAAAGGATTTTAATGTGAGCCATTACTATGTGAAGAACAAGAAGAAAGCTCAAGGTTTATTTTAGTTTTTCCTAATTATTTGTTACTTCATCTCAGAATTTACTACTACAGAAAGAAAAGTCCCTGCCAAGCAAGATTCCATAGTGACCTATGCATGAAATGTACATGAGGACACAGGTTCTGTGACAAAGACTCTGCCATGGTCCGATGAATGGCATCACGCAGACCCGTAGCTTCCTGCCCTCTGCTTTTATTTTCAAATCCAAGACTCAGTCTCCTTCATCATTTCATCAGTTTCCTGAGTCAGAGAAATTACAAAACACATATAAAGTAGAATTCTTAAGATCATTAAAGAAGATTATTTGGAAGGTGAATATTATGAAAAATATTTATGTTTAATGGATACACAGGTGAGCATGATGACATTTTTGATAGGTCAGAATTCAAAGTTTCCCAGGCACCTTGCCCTAAACATTGCCCCTGTCAGTTTCCCAGGTAACCTACCCAACCCCAATCGCAACCTGCCCCACATTGTACTCTGGTCTCGGCTACTTCCCCTTGACCCACATTGGTCTCAACTCACTCCCTTCTGACATAAACAAAATTAAAAAGAAAGATAAATGATGTCCACCCAGATCTGGCTGCTCCAGTCTGCCCTGAAACCCATGATCTAGCTGTTACTTGACTGTTCCAGCCCGCAATTACCCTCCCTGAAAGATCCTATAAAGTCTCCTGCCCCCTTTTGTCTAGTGCTGCCTTGGACCAAAAGGCAGCCCCCACATGTGCTTTCAATAAACCTGCTTCATTCATGTCAGTGTGTCTGGTTTGGTACTGCATGGGTTCAGCTGTCCAGGTTTAACTGTTCAATTTTGATTAACAATATATGAAGTAAGAGATACCCATCACATTAGGCATAATGTTAAATTTTGCTGGTATAATTACAAATTAATTATTTTTATTTTCCAATTTTATTTTGGAAATACTTTCTGCCTCTGTGTCCATCGGCTGTAAAGCAAATAGCGTATGGCACGTACACACAGTGGCTCCTGTGTGGCCTTAAAGGACTTTCTCTCCTGTGTTAAAACATGGATAGACCTAGAAGACATTATGCGAAGAAAACAAAACCAGGCATAAGAAGGCCAATGACGCTTGACCTCCTGTGTATTTGGAACCTACTGCGCTGATCTCAT